CAATAATAATATATAATATTTCGTTTTACGTGTTTGTTTATTTTTTTAAAATTAAAAAAACAAAAAATAAAGAGAAGAGGAAAAATCAAGAAAATAGTTGGCAGGAAACTGCCGGGTAAGTGTTTATCATAAGAATGGTGGTGGCTATCGCCACTTGTCATTACCCTAGTTAAATTGTTCACTATTTGTCATTCTAGTTAATTAATATATTTGACGTGGCTAAATCAACTTTTGTATTCACTTTTTAGATTTGTTCTGTTACAAGAAAAAGAAAATGTAAATGATGTACAGACAGATCATTGCTTTGACAATAATTTTACTAGTGAACGTGGGCCTTCAAAAAATTCTCATAAAAGACCATTAAAATCAACAAGCAATGACAAGGCTACATTTGCTGATACTCCACCACTTAAAAAAACTTTGTACTAATACTAATACACAACATAATAGCATAGAATTAATGTCATGGAAGCAAGCGAAAGAAAAATTGGCTACTCTTTTCACTAATGAAGATGAACGCGGAAAAATCAAAGGTCTTCTTTTGAATAAACCACTAGAAGAACGGTTAGAATATTTTGAGGGTGAAGATAAAGAGATAGTTGCTTCTCTTAAAATGCTTTTACAAGGTAAAATAATTACAGTGAACTGTTTGAGAAACCATAATAGCTAGAGTATTTATATTTATTTAAGATGTAACATTTGGTATGACATTGATTAACTTGTGCTTTTTTATTCTCTTTTTTACACATATCTTACACCAAGATTATGCTTTATTAAATGAAGGTAAACACTATTGGAAGAAAAATGATTCTATATAATTAATATGTATCATTAGAAATTTTATCATTTACATATTTTGTTCTTTTGCCTGTATTGACTTTTTTTGCTTCATAATTTGATAGACTTTTTAGAGCAACTTAGCAAAAAAATAGCTGAAAAATTATGCAAACAAAAACAAACAACTGAATACAAACCAGCATCAGCAGCAGTTTGGTCCCAGTTTCAGGATGTAATCAATTCAGTTGAAATTTGGAACATTGCAGCAGATATAAATTATCCAAGAAATGGTGATTTTATAAATAATCATGTAAATAATATTCAAGCCAAATTATCGAATATGACTGAAAATTTTGTTGAAATACTTGGTGAAGTTTTGGTTTCAATATGTGTTTCCATTCATTTTATTGAATTATTGAAATCATATCCAAATTTCTTCTGGAATGACAGGAAACAGTCTTACAAATCAAAAAATTACAGATTAGTTGGTAGATATGATTTATCTGTTCTTGAAAAAATTACTTATAGAAAAAGGATTCTTCTAGAGATAAAAACAGTGATATCAATGGAAAATGATCAATGGAAAATGAAGATTGCGCAAGTAATTGGACCTATGGACAGCTTGTTAGAAGAACTGGATCATTTTGGTATCAGGGTAGGTTATGTTTTATTATCAAATGGATCAATTTGGTAAGTTTAGATAAAAAATGCATATTCCTTGCAGCCTCATGTAGTTTTTTGTCATTGACTTATTGGGTGATGGTTTCTCTTTTAGGTATCTGTTTAAGGGAATACTTACAGATAATCATAGTATCAATTATGAATATGCTGGCCCATATGAATCTGGTAGTGTTGAATTAATTAAAGGGTTGATATGTATTTTGGAAAATACTAATAATACTAATACTACTGAGATAACATCATTAGAATTAGAAAGAATTAGTGAAAGTAATAATGATGACAATACATTTGTTAATGGCAATGATGATGACATTGATAATAATTAAGTGTTGGTGCTAGGAAAATGAATAAAATGATGATAGTGGAAAGAAATATCAATTTTCTAATGTTTAAGACAATTGTGGATATTAATTAGAGATGATTGCTATATAGAAAAATGATAAAAGTAATTTGATGATGATGATAATTAGAAATGTTGTTATAATTTAATAAAAATACATATGAATAAATTGACTAGATGTAAGATACTTATAGCTTGTCTGATTTTGTATGATATACTTATACCAGTTGATCATGTTCTTCATTGTCAAGAAATTTAGCAAAAAAATTATATATATACACAAAATATATGCATTTATCATCTATACATCTATACATTATTCTTATTTATTTTATCACATTCTTTTTACAGTCAAACCTCCATAAATGCACCCCCCCCCTCAGGACTGAGAGACAGCGTGCATTTATGGAGGTTTGACTGTATATCATATTTTAATATTATTAAAGTATTTGCAGAACTGAATTTAATGATCTAAACTTTTTTATTACAATTTTTGATATATTTTCAGCAAATGTCATGACCAAATAAATGTTTTATTTGTTTAAAATTAAAATAAATAATAAACAGTAAATATGTAGAATATTGTCATTATTATCATATTAACTATTTTTATATAGAGGGAATTCTATATATCACCTAATATTAAGAGGGTAACAAATGGAAGATTTTAATAATAATCACATTACTAAATTTTGACCCCTGAAATATTTGGTAATTAATACAAATGTTCACTTTGTCTGGTTTTGTTGCAGCATGCCCCATTTATGACAATTTTTACTGGTTAATCAAATGTTAAAAAAAAAAGTACAGTGGGTGAATGGGACTCCATTGCGGCAAGATTACTAATCTTGCCGCAATGGATTTTTATATGTGAAGCAAAATTGTTATAACAAGAATTTGATTATAATCCGTTGTGACTGTATTTGTGGAATCAACTACTGAAAATATGATTATGATTTTAATATTACTATTAATTATTTGAATGAATTGGTAATATAATTAAAAAAGAATTTAAAGGTGGCTTTTTTATTAATTATTAATAATAATAATAGAAAAAAAATCACGGAATATGTATTTATTATTATACTATGATACTAATAATAATAATAATGTATCACAGAATATCACAAATAATGTAATAAAAAGGATTTAAATAAGTATAACACGATAATCAGGTTTTTTCTGACAATGAAGTAGTAGTACTATTACAACAACCTGGTAATCTGTTTAATTATAGTAATAGTAATAGTAATAATTTTAAGCGACAATCTGTGGCACTGAATGAATGCTCTGATTAGTCAATCTAGTTATAAATTCTTGATTGATCATAAAAATACAGCAACCTTCAAGAGCAATAGTAACGTAGCAAATATTCTATTGTGTTAATATAAGGAAAGCTTATTATCCATTTTTTAACACGTAGAAATTGTTAAAAAATTAAAACTGCATTTAACTGTTGTTATAGATTTTATTTGTAATTTGAAATTAAAGTTGGATTAGATGAACAAACGAAGTGTATTAATGATGTTCAGCGTGATTTTGATAAGAAATGGACAATATAAAAATACGTTAACTCAAATAATGTTGGTGACAAAAAGATTGCACGGCGATGATCTTGTTGATATAATCATATTCGCATCTCGGAACAAAACAAAAAAAAATTTTTGAATGAAAACAATAATATTATTACCCTCTTTTCTTAACATTACACATAATTCATTCCTTCTTTGTTTTATTTTTATTTTTTTGTATTTATTGAATTAGCAAAAACATAAGATCATAATAAATTCAACGGTTTGAGGTTTAGAGGTTGACACCGTTAACCGTTTAATTTAACTGGTTAATCATCAATCCATGGTGTTATCTAACTAGAATGCACATAGAAATAAATACAAATACCAAAACATAATCTATATTTATGTGTAATGATGATAAAATAAATATGGTAATCCTACTACCGCTAATGTTTTAAGAGAGTGTCAATCTTTACTTTTTTCTTTTGGATTGGCTTAGGCGGGATTTATGACTAGATTTTTTATTCGAATTATTCGTAATACAACTCAATATTAATTCGAACTATCCGTTTCATCGTTCGTTCGTTTCATTCGTTTCATTCGAATCCGTTTTATGCAAATAAACAGTCGATGTAATTCGAATACTCGAGTTCATAACGAATAAAACGAATAATTCTTACTATGACTATTTGCTAATAGGAAAAAAAAATTACTATTATTATCAATACAAAGGAAAAACACCAATTATTACAACTATTATTATTAATTGACTAATGAAAAGAAAATAAAAACATTTGCTTCTGCTATTACTATTATTATTATCACTACAAGGACGAAGGAAAAATAGAACTGATAAAGAAAATTTTTTCGATTGAATTGGATAATGCATATTAATATACTATCACTATATTATTATTCGAATGAGATTCGTTCTATCATTATTAGTTAAAAAATTTCACGTGATTAAATTAACCAGTTAACCGGTTAAAGAATGTTTGCGCGGTGCCAACCTCTATTGAGATTTATTATTATCAGAAATGTCATTATCGGTTCTCTTGAATACCTTTATATTGCAGGATTGGAAGTTTTAAAAGGATTGATTATACTGATACTGATGATCAAATCCTTGAATTGTTGACCCAAGAAACAATTACAATTTCTTATGGATCGTAGAAGAATTAAGCGTACGGAAGAAAATGAAAGAGAGGATGCATAGCGAGTAAGTTTTTAATAATATATTATATAAAAATATATTGACTAGAATTTTTCTTACAATGATATTTTGGCATTTTATGATATCCTCGATATGACACAATAGTAATCTTATAAAAATTACCGTCCATCAACAAATAATTTGATTCAAAAAATAAATAGGTCAATTATTACAATCTACTTACCTCCACATGGAGAAAACCAAAAACTCGTCGTTTCGCTCCTATAGTGAGTGGGCTAGTTATTGGTGGAACACGGCTTAACAACCGAAACAAGTCCTTCTCGGTTCGTTTATTCTGAAAGCTTTTGCAAAAATTAAAATCAATTTTATTGACCTGAACTATGTTTGATGATCAACCGTTGTGACTAACCCCAAACCGTTATTAATATTAACATTAATATTTAATCATGGGCGTGATCTGATCAATGTGGGGGAAATTAAACCATTACATAAGTTATACAACATAAATGTGCAGACGTAACAATTAGAATTCTTAGAAAACTTTTGAAAAAATTTATTATTATTATTAAATATATTATTAAAACGAAAAGTTGGCGTGTAACTTTTGCTTATTATTTTTCCTTTTAAATTTTGTCTATCTGGAGAATCATTACTTCGTAATTCTGAGAATAGAATAATCTGTATTTGATTGTTTATAATAAATAAATAACTAGTTATTATTAAATAAATAATAAATAAAAGAATAATAAATAATAAACAAATGTTGCCAAGTGTAAAAAAAAATCTTTGTTGTCCAGTTCACACTTGGCCAAATTCGGTCAGAGTACTCTAAGGTCGGTTTTACTCACAAATAGCATTCATTATTATTAATAATAAAAATAACAAACATATATTGTTAAATAGCAATATAATAAATAGGTTTTTTTTACATTATTTAGAAGTCGATGTCCAAGTTTAATTTGTTGGAGTGAAGATTCTCAATTTCAATTTTAATTTCAATATTTTCAGCATACAAATGAAGATTTCTTAACGTACCTCTCTACCTGATAATTTTATAGAAACGTTCTAATTCTTTTACTGCCACCTTTTTTGCTTGCTTTAATAAATCTTTTATTGATATTGCTTGGCTCCCAATAAATGGACATACTATATACCAACCTCCCATTTGGAAAGTTGTTTATTCATTTAACTGCCATATTTGTCTAATATTTCTTTGATAACCAATTCTTTTCTTCCGTGAAAACAAAAAAAAATACTACAGTCAACCCTCTAAGTGTACCCTCTCTAAATGCACTCACTATGTAAATCCTCTCTAAATGCACGCCATGTCTCATTTCCCAAACTTATAGTGAGCTTATAAAATTAACGCCTCTAAATGCACGTTCATGAGAAATAGTGATATGTTCCCAAGAGGGTGTACTTGGAGGAGGTTTACTACTTTTTTTTTTGATCCATTCGAGTATTTTTTGTTACCCAAAATTTTGTACCCCAAAATCAGCAGATTGTCATTTCTCCTCTAATGATAATAATAAGGTAAAAAAATAAATCTATTTTTTAATAAACAATGCTTGATCTCAATTTATTTCAAGTTGAAAAAGGTGGAAATCCTGAACTTATTCGTGAGTCACAGCGTAGAAGGGGCGCTCCAGTTGAGATAGTTGACAAAATAATTAGTTTGTATGATGAATGGCGAACTGGTACTTTTCTTTATTTACATGAATGAGCAATTTTTTTTCCCAACAAACATTATGACCTTGAGCTAATTTATTATCTATTTTAAATTAATGCATCAATTTAAATGATAGCAAGATTTGAATTAGATCAGGTTAATAAAAAAATCAACGTTATTCAGAAAGAAATTGCTTTGAAAATGAAGGTAAAAAAAAAAAAAGGAAAATTTATGTAAAGTAACATTGAAAAAGTTGATTTCTTAAAAAAAAATTAAATGATAATTCATGATACTAGAATAAAACAGATGCTACAAAATTGATCGAAGAAAAAGAATCGTTAGGTCAAGATAAAACTAGATTGATGGCGGTTGAAAAAGAAAAAGAGGAAATACTTAAATCAGAAGCATCAACAATTGGAAATATCGTTCATCAATCAGTTCCAACTTCGATGGATGAAGAAAATAACGAAATAGTTAAAAAGTGGGAACCAACATCAGACGATTCAAGTGATATTTATACCAATAGAAAACCTATAAAAAAAGATGGAATCTCATCCCATCATGAGGTATTGCATCGTATCGGTGGATATGATCCAGAAAGAGGTAGGAAATATTATATTTAAATTATTTTTGAGATTGTTTTTTAATTAAACCATAAAATAAGCGAATATTTTTCTATTTTTTTTTTAGGAACAAATATTGCAGGGCATCGTGGATATTTCTTAACCAATGACGGTGTTGATCTTAATATGGCATTAATACAATATGGATTATCTTTTTTACGAAAAAAAGGCTATAATAAATTACAAACACCATTTTTCATGCGAAAGGAGTACATGGCAAAGACTGCACAATTAGAACAATTCGATGAAGAGCTTTATAAAGTTATTGGAGATGGAGAAGACAAATATTTGATAGCAACTTCAGAACAACCAATTTCTACTTTTCATGCTAATGAATGGTTTGAACGACCAACAGAACAATTACCATTAAAGTAATATAATAATACTTGAATGATCAATTAACGTGATATTTTATTTTTTTTTTTTTGGTATAAAATTGAATCATGTGATTTTTCAACCAATTATGTAGATATGCAGGCTATTCTACATGTTTTCGTAAAGAAGCAGGCGCTCATGGAAAAGATACATGGGGCATTTTTCGTGTGCATCAATTTGAAAAGGTGGAACAATTTGTTATTACTGAACCAGAAAAATCCTGGGAACAATTTGATGAGATGGTTATCACTTCCGAAGAATTTTATCAATCATTAGGATTGTCATATCGACTTGTTTCCATTGTTTCAGGAGCTTTGAATAACGCAGCAGCAAAAAAATACGATCTAGAGGCTTGGTTTCCTTATCAAGGGTCTTATAAAGAATTAGTCAGTTGTTCAAATTGTACGGATTATCAATCTAGGCGGTTGGAAATTAGGTGCGGAACTAAAAAAATGGGTGATAGAGAAAAGAAATATGTGCATTGTTTGAATGCTACATTATGTGCAACCGAGAGAACTATATGTTGTATTTTGGAAAATTATCAGACATCAGACGTAAGTACAAATACATGTGTCGCATGTTTTGTGTATTTATGTGCGTGTATATAAATTTGTATTGATTTATTTATATTTATTGATTTATTAAAAGGGAGTAATTGTACCAGAAGTACTTCGACCATATATGGAAGGACGTGATTTCCTACCATTTGTAAAACCCTTACCAAAGAAAAAATAGATATGGATTTCTTTAAAAATTTTTTAATAGATTAAAAAATTTTATTTATTAATTGAATAAAAATTACAAAATATATTTGTTAAAATTAGTGTTTTATATATATATATATATAAATAATAAAATTAATCCGATTCCCGATAAATTCCATGACTCACCATTGATTATGTTTTTATTACGGTGAGAATTCATGAGCTTTTCCAGTCTAGAAATAATAATAATAAGGTTTAAAAATCATATTTTTGATATTAACAAACAACAAATTAAAAAATCATTATTTTTTTACCTGTAACAAACCAACAATTAAACCAAAAAGTCCAAGAACACTACCAAAAATTTCTACAACAAGAATTTTCACAAATAAAGAAGGGTCCTGAGCATCAGCTAATGCAGCAGTACTTCCTGTAATTCCTACTGCAACACCACAGAATAAATTACAAAATCCAACAGTTAAACCACCCCAAAAAAGTGAATATCCTATAATAAAAATTATAACGAATTAACGAATTAACGAATGGATGAATGGATGGATGAATGAATGGATGAATGAATGAATTAAATAAATCGATAACAATAAATCGATTGATTATGTCTATATTTTTTACCAGTATATAAATTTTCTTTAGTATATAAGTTTGGACCGGCAACATTTTCTAATTTTGCAGAAAATACTATTGCCATAATAACTCCATATATAGCAACTACTTCACAAAAAATTATACTATTAAAATCGTAGGTATGATTAATTCAAAGTTGGACAGTTTGTAAAAAACAACAACAATAATTATTATTACTAATACTACTGCTACTACTACTACTACTATTATTATTATTGTTACTTGTCTTTACCTTATGAGATTTTTTGTTTGAATCCTAGGAGCTTTAACAGCTCCACCAAGAATACTACCACCTGTAATAAGAATTCCCCTAATAAATAAATAAAAAAATAAATAATGAATTAAAGAAGTTAATTAACTAATCAAGTAATTTTAATTACCATGCAGCACCGATAACACTAAGTCCTATACACAAGGCTATTCCAATTAAAGCCCAACCATATGGACTAATCCCAACTAAAATATCCTCTATTGTTAATTGTCCAGATCTAATTAAATATAAAACATAGATAACGAATGCAGTACTGGCGAGCGAATAAAGAGCTCCAAATATACTCTTATAATTATATCTCATCTTATTATGTAATTGTAATGAAAAAAAAATAAAATTTTATTTTATATTTTATTTTTATTTTATTTTATTATTTTATTCTATTTTATTTTTTATTTGGTTACAAAAACCCGATAATCAAATTCGATTTCGAGATTTTTGAATTTGAAATTTAACATGCGTGAAATGAGCCAATCACATTGACCTATAAATTTTAAGCTTAAATCTTTTGGTTCTAAACGTGATTGTTTCAGGTGATTAGCAATTGTAATTTTACAACTTTAATTATTGCCCTGCAGTTACTCACACCTTAGATTACCGCCAATTTTCTTCTTTTCAACAAACATCCTTGACTTTTGAATACTCTTTTATGGTCTTCCTGACAACTATTTACCGCCACCCAAGACCTTGTTATAATAAATAACAGTGAAAGACGTATATCTAGCCTACGTAATTTGTACATAACGACCTAATTTGAGCTTTGACTATTGATTACTTTTGGTTTTGCGTTTGGTTCTTTACGAAACAAAGATCAGCATTAGTGGTGATTTAATGGTACATATGAACAAACGTAAATAGTATATATACATAATTATAAAAATGACCAAGCAAGTATATTCAATATACCTGACAACCTAATCTAATAGTTTTATTTTAAATTAGAATCAAATTTATAAATGCAATTTGTGCCAACATTATTGAGTATAAAACATTAATGGTTTACGAAAACTCAAACATAAAAAGTATAATAGTACGCCTGTAAGTACATCATCATTAGAAGTTCCTGGATTTTGGTTAGGTAATTAAACAAGAAAACATATAAGGTTTTTGGAGTTGTTACTATTACAAAAATTATAGAAGCGGAAGAGGATGAAAGAAATTTTTCTAGTTTGTCATGAAACTGTATTTGTTTGATATTTAGAAATTATATAACAAGATATTCAAGTGTTGGTAGGCGGTATAGACGTGTTTTTAAAGGAAGGAAAATTTAAATGAATGTTTGGGGTCAGGCCATTAAATATTATGAGAATAATGAAGCTGTTTTCAGATATATGTACACGATCGGAAGGTGGAGGATATATAGAAGGAAATAAAAATTGTAGATGGTAGGGGAAATGAAACAATATCCAATAAGTCGACTGTTAAGTTATATATAATTTATAATATTCTTCTATTCTTCTAATAAAAATTTACATTAATTTTTTCATCAAATTATACTAATTATACTTGATAATTATTACTATGGGATAAAATACCTAATTCTTGCCGGATTACAATTAGGGTCTTGCTTCGAATTACGAACTATGCCTCGCGTCACGAATTATTACTTGGGATGTTAATAATATTATGTCAAAATTTTCTTTATTTACCATTAAACAAAAATTTTATTGATTATAATTTGTTGTGATAATTATTAATAAAAAAACATATGTTAAATTAAAAATAGCAAACATACAGTATATTTGTTTATTTTCTTTATAATTATCCTAGTGGGTTTAGCTAACCGTTTGGGTCATGTGACTATAGTATTGTGACACCAAAAAGCCATTAATTTTGAGATGATCATAGGAAATAATTGAATAAAAATATTATCATCCTAACCACATTTGCTCATTAAGTAAAAATCATCATATAATATACTGAAGTTTCGCCGCATATAAAAGACAGCTTGTTGTTTTAACGAACCTTAAAAAATAAAAATGAATTTTTCAGAATTTTTAAAAAATGTTCGCCTCGAAAATTGATCACAATGGCAAGTTCTAACGACCTTTGTGGTATAAGTAAAAAAATGCGTCTTATATTTAAAACTAGTTACATCTAATTAATTGCCAAGATGTCATACAAAATATTCGAACGAGTTGATTTTGAAATAATTTGTTTAAACTTCAAACCATTTTATAGAATCTAAAATGCCCATTTATCTGAACTTGAATTCAGAGAAATTGTTGGCCAATTTTTCTTAGAGAAATAGCTCATATATTAATAGATCCAAAAGCGTAGTCGAAAAGACCATGATTATTTTTCAAAAAATAAAACAACTACAGCTCTTAGACCTGGCAGACTTAAAAAGAAGGCTTAGAAATGAGAAACTCAAAACCAAAAAAATAAGACAGAGTTATTCAATTTATTAAAAGAGGGACGGTTTAAGACTATCCTGATGAGAATTAATAGATTAATAGATAGTATACCACGAAGGATGGATGCTGTTTTAAAAGTAAAGGAAATCCGACAGGATATTGATTTTTTTTTTTTTTTAATAAAATACAATCAATTTAAAAAAGTTTCATATGTCTTTTATGTTTTAAATTGGTGAGAAATTCGAGGTTGAATCGCTTCGTAAAATTTTCTACATTTTATTTTTTTTTTCTCGCTAATTAATTTACCAAATGCTCTAGAATTTTATATGCAACTAAATTTAAACATAAGACGCATTTTTTTTTACTTATACCACAAAGGCAGTTAGAACTTGCCATTGTGGTCAATCTTCGAGGCGAACTTTTTTTTAAAAATTCTGAAAAATTCATTTTTATTTTTTAAGGTTCGTTAAAACAACAAGCTGTTTTTTATATGCGGCGAAACTTCAGTATATTATATGAAGATGAATTTTTGCTTAATAAGCAAATGTGGTTAGGATAATAAAAAAATTTTTTTATTCAATTATTTCCTATGATCTGCAAGTGTCCTCTTCTATATTTTATTCGCAAATTCACTATATACTCATTTTTTTAATGAATGTTACACTAGGTAAATTAATAATTAATGAGTAAATTTACTTTTTGTAACGCGTAATGATGATACAATAGTAATTGTGCCTCAACAAATGCATAAAATACATATATGTATTCCTCCTCAAAGAAAAAACATCTAATTAAACAAACAATCATCTGAAGGCAGCGCACGCACTCAAGTTGAATCTCTATGTCCTGTAACCATTTAAAATTTTAGAAAAAGGCAAGTAATTTCAATCAACACTAGCTAGGACCCCGAATAAGAATTTATATATGACCATAAACTCACATGACCTTCAAATTTAAAATTTCTTTGACGATATAAAATTTTTGTTTTTTTCATGAATATCTTGGATCATTGTGAGAGATCCTTCTTCATTTCATTTAATATTAAGGGTGGCATGATCACTTATTACTCTCAATGAGCCTGGTCAACCCTTCTTCATTTACCCACGACATTAAAGCATCTCCTGGAACTGGCTTATAACTTCTAACGTAATATAAGAAAAATTATTCAAATTTTGACAATAAAAGCTGTTAAAATTATTTCTTTTACATCCAGAATTATTTAAAAAACCTTCATCATAGATACAAATAATTAAAGTTCAACGTAATACTCTGACATAGCTTAAAGTCTTTCAAGTGAAATATATATATGTATATGTATGTCTCCCCCGAAGATCATCAAAATACTCAACCTCTATTACATGATATGATTATGTACAAAAAATAAATATTAGTTGGTGTTACCCAAAAAATCTTATTATTATGAAATGAATGTCACCCAACGCCAACGTTATGATTCAAAAGTACTTTAAAAAAGGAAAGGTGGTTACGACACTATAATTCGGGTCAATAGAAAATTAAACTTAAATCCAAATAAGGAAAAAAATTAACTCCAAAGGTTACTAACTTGCACAAACAGAAAAAATTCACCAATAAACTTTTCCTGATCCTATTTGTACCCAGCTGTTGTAAATTTTGTGTAACATCACAAAAATCTGCACGGCCTTCACATATGGAATTAATATAAATTTATTGAACCATTACAACAATAGGCGCATGATGCAAATGTCACATTATTCACAAATGTTCGCCCATAGGTTTTTGAGTGATACAACAAACCACAAGAAAAATATAGATTTTGAATTTTAATTTTTGCATGTTAATATAAATATTAATTAACTATCTTCCGATTAATAGTAATAGTTCAATGTACATCTAGATTGCCGAATGATTATAAGAAGACGAAGAAGCATTTGAGTGCTGCTCAGGTCCAATGAATGATTTTGTCAGGCAAACCTTTTATTTGATTAATAAAGTTATAAAGTTACGCGTAGGATTCCCTTACACACCCTGTGTTCTTTATTCTACATTACATCGTACATCAAGACTCTTCGATTTTTTTTTCTTCGTCAAGGAATTCTGAATTATTAACAATACCATCTATTAATTTATTGACTTCAGATAATACATTGATAATAATACTGCCACTAATAACATTTAATCTTTAATATATTTCCTGCTGCTTTTAAAATAGCGTATCTAATTTAATTGACCTTCGGATTGAGAATCCCTGAAGTTTCTAAGCATCAAATTTTATTATTGTCTATAATCCTGATTCCATTAGCGTCTAATAAAATTGTAACGTGATAGCACCTCCCTACTTTTTTATTCTACATTGAATCATACGTTTGTACCTCTCCTCAGGTTGAGAGGCCCTGAGGCCTCTCATTACTAAATTCCAATAAAACGAAGCCAAGCACAAGTCAGAAGATTCAAAACCTTGTAAACTATTCAATATAAAGGTAGCATTGTTAATTTAGGGGCACGAGATTGAAGTATATAATGCCATTTTGTAACATTTGACATGATGCCTCTATGTTTCTAAATTATTATTATTATTAAATTTATCATTTTGTTGGCTGGCATGTTAATTATTTATAATAGATATTAATACTTTTTTTCCACAGTGTGTTTATTTAATTAGCACAAATTGTTTAGAATTGAGGAAACGGGCGTGATAGTTTATATACGCCATTGAAATAATAATAGGTAACATTAAACTTTAAACTTGTAACAAAACAAAAACTTTGTTTGGTCAATCATTTTTTTTTTTGGAGAAATGTTTTTTTACACAAAATATAAACAAAAAAAACACACATATAATAAAATGGTCTGGACTGTTCTGGCTTGGTCGAAATTAGAATCTTTTTCTTTTATTTTCTTAAAAAAAAACATGTTATTCAAAATTTGAGAAAACATTATTAAAACAAACATTATTATTATTGTATTTTTTAACTTACAATCTTTTTTTTATATTACATACATTATTCAAAATCATCCATTGTCAGTCAATCACCCATTTACCATTATCCTAAACCAATTATGGAATGTGAGTTAAAAGAAAATTTATTAAGGATCACACCGTGGATTTAATTAAATATATATATTCATTTCCTATCATCTTCTTTCCTCAATTAAAATAAATTTTATTTGAAATTCCCATTACTATTTTCTCGACTTTCATTTTATTTCAACTCATTGAATAATATAAATATTTTAAATAATAATAAATTATTATTACATTTACAACAATCAATTAATTTAATTTTATATACATATATACACATACAGTCAACTTCATGTCGTTTACAAATCATGCTGACAATGACGATTTACCATCAACATCCTACTCTGAAGAAACTCCCATAAAAGATCTTATTCACGATTATGATTGGGCGTCAACTTCTTTAGGTCCGGTAGAATCATGGGATTCTTCATTGAAATCGGCTGTGGTATTTATAAATTATTCTATTTAAAAAAATTAAAATTATTTTTTATTAAATAAAATAATTATAAAATAATTAGAGCATATGTATACATTCTGTGTTTCCAATGGCAATATATTATGGCGACGATTTGGTGTTTATATATAATCAAAGTAAGTCTTTACATAACTGGTTTTTTATTCATGTGAATTGTCATCATTGTATAATAATAATTTATTACAATCATTAATGTAGTGTGGAGACCAATATTGAAAATGAAGCATCCATCGGGTATGTAAAATCACATGACAACTCCACATGATTTTTTGATTATCATTGCCTAGTTAGTAAATTAATTAATTATCGAAATTATTAGCTTTGGGAAAAACTTTTGGAGAAGTTTGGCCAGAAATTTATGATAAGTTTATGAAATTATTTCAAGAGTATATATATATCTATTATTTTTAAAAAATATCTTTTTTTTACAATATCTATTATAATAATAATAATAACAATAATGATAATGATAATGATAAAATAAAAAATTATTACTAGGGTCAAAGCATCAGGCAAAGGAACATCAGAAGATGATACAAAATTATTTCTTCAACGAGATGGTTATAATGAAGAGACCTATTTCTCATTTGCTTTAAATCCAATATTTAATGGAGATACCGTGACTGGTATACTTGCTGTTGTTCAAGAGACAACTGAAAAAGTTTTAGGTGCAAGAAGATTAAAGGTTCTAAGTGAATTGGGTAACAACACGCCAGGTAGATACCACAAGTATATTTATGTAAATCTATCTATATATGTACGTGCATTTATGACATTAATTAATTGATATATAGGTACAAGATCAGTAGAAAACGCTTGTCATCTGTTGACTTCTACTTTAAGAGAACACAATGCAGATATACCATATTCATTAGTTTACTTGATTGAAAATAAGAATAATTCAGCCAAATCTGCTGATTTGATCGCAACTACATTTGACGAAGATCTTGAAATTGAATCAGATGAAAACGGTGTTAAAAAATGCTCTTTTGTAAAAGGAAAATCAAGACGTTCGTTACCAGATTATTTCCCAAGAACTTACGACTTTGTAGATTTGACGATGGATGATGACGATAACATTACTGATTCCTCTTCCACCTTTTCAGCCTCATCATCAGATTTAACTATACCAAAAATAAATAAAGAAGTTTTATCTGAATATGGTCATCCATTAGATTTATCCGACACATCATCATCAACTTGGCCATTAAAAAAAGTCCTAAAATCTAGTACTAAAGTCATAGTAAAATTAAAAAATAGTTCATATGCTATAATATTTCCTGTTTATATAAATTCAGGTGGTAAACTTGTATTAACTGCCATCATGATTTGTGGTATAAATATATATAGAACTATTGATAATGAATATATAGATTTTCTAAAGGTAATTGTTAAACATTGTTTTATATATTGTTTTATTATATATATACATTGATTCATTTATTGAATTTTTAACGAATTTGTTTTAATTAAAACAATAATAATTAATTTGACATTATAGCTAGTTATGGGTCATGCAAATTCAGCAATGACCCATGGTAGGTCAAGAGAAGAAGAAAGAGAACAAGCAGCAATTTTAGAAGATCTTAATAGACAAAAAATCATGTTCTTTCAGAACGTTAGCCACGAGCTGAGAAGTACTATTATTAATTTTTTTTTTTGGTTTTTTTTGGGCGAAAAAATAAAATTTATCAATATTAATAATAATTTAATTAATTTATAGCACCATTAACGCTGATGTTATCACCATTAGATGAAGCAGTTACTATTTGTAAACAATTAAGGGATAAATCAGCAGATGACGATGAAAATAATAATAATAATAATACAGAAATTATTAACAAAAAAGATACAAGTGCCAAATATGATACTTTATTAACTCATTTAAATATGGCCCAAAGAAACTCTCGCAGATTGCTTAAAGTTGTCAATTCTTTATTGCAGGTAATATGAAATAAATAAAATAAAATAAATAAGTTTGTTATTGTTATTAATATTTTATAAATAATTATAAATATATGTAGTTTTCAAGAATTGAAGCAGGAAGATTAGAAGCAATATATCGTGAAACTGACATTTCAAAACTAACTATAGAACTCGCTTCATGTTTTGAAAGTATGGCACAATCACTCAACTTACAATATAATATTGAAATAATTAAACCGGAAATTTTTAATAAAAATATAACAAAAAAAGTATATTTGGATAAAGATATGTATGAAAAGATTGTGTTTAATATATGTAGGTGGTTTTTTTTTTAATTGAAAAAAAATTTTCAAATTAAAAAAACTCTCATTTGATGAATTAATTATGTCATCGATCTATTTTATATAGGTTCAAACGCTTTCAAACATACTTGGGAGGGTTCAGTTACTATAAGATTATATGTTGATAAAAAAGATGATAAAGAAATTGTTATATTCGAAGTTTCCGATACAGGTGAAAATTTTAAACGTTTTACAAAGGTTGTTTAAATCATATAAATTAATTATATTAACTAATGTTTTTTCTTTATTTCAAATTAATTATACAGGTGTAGGTATACCAGAAAATGATCTTCCTAATTTATTTCAAAGATTTTACAGAGTTGAATCAAAACAATCACGTAGTCATGAAGGTACAGGTATCGGTTTGGCGTTAGTAAGAGAATTAATAAATCTCCATGGGGGTGATATATCTGTTGAATCAAAAATTGACGTAGGCTCAACATTTAAAATTTGGATACCTACTGGTTTTGAACATTTGCCACTTGATCGAGTGATTTTTGGTGCTTCTCCTTCCGATAGAGATATTCAAATGTTAAATATCATTGAGAATGATAGACGCGATAGAAGTGAACATTCATTTTATAAGTTTAATAGAGAATTATATTTAGAAGAAAGTTATCAATGGATTAAAAATAATCAACCCGATCTTAAAAATGACTCTGAATTAAATAAACTTGATGATGATGATGATGGCGATGCCGAATCTAATGATAATATGATGAAATTTGAAGATAATGATTTTGATATTATTAATAATAACAATCATAATGATGATGATGATGATGATGAAGGTGAAATTCAACTACGACAACCAAAAAAACAAAAAACTCGTATATTACTTGTTGATGATAATACCGACATGAGGTATTATCATCATTAATTAAATTTATTTGTTTTGTTTTTTTTTTTTTTTTTTTTTGAATGAATCGAATTATTTACGTTATTTTGCATTTGTATTTTTTTGTAGAGCGTATTTGACCGGTATATTATTTAAGGATGATTTTAAAGTTTATTCAGCTTCAGATGGTAAAGATGCACTTGCAATTGTTAAAAGCTTAAAAAAATTACCTGACCTTGTACTTAGTGGTAAATATAATATATCTATTTTTTTTATTTTTTTTTAATAATCAAATACGAATATTTATTTATTTATTAAAATAATTATGTTATATTTAGATATAATGATGCCAAATATGAATGGAATTGAATTATTAAATGCTTTAAGATCCGATCCAAGAACTCAATCAATCCCTGTTATTTTGTTGTCAGCTAAAGCTGGCGAAGAAGCAAGTATTACAGGTAAATTAATTTATTATTAATCACATTAATTAAAAGAGATGGTTTTTACAAGGGAAAAAACTATATTAAACTATATTATTTATTTTTATTAAATAGGACTAAACAATGGCGCAGATGATTATTTAACAAAACCATTTCAACCAAAAGAATTGATTGCTAGAGTTCGTGCAAATATAAAGTTATCAAATTTACGTCAGAAGTTATATAATCAACGGCGTCAACAAAACATAACAAAAGAATTGCTATTCACAATTTCTAAGGAAATCCATTCAGAGAATGATTTACAAGGAACACTTTCAAATGTTATAAAAGAAATTCATAAAATTTTTGATTGCGATAGAATTCTAATCTATGCTGATAAAGTTGATAACCCTGATAATGAGTTTTATAATGTGGAAGTTAGTGAAGCCGTTATTCTTGCACAAATTTCAAAAGATGAAAGAGAATTTTCTTGTGTTGGTAAAACAATTGACTACCATGAAGAACGAATTAACATACAAACTGATCCTAGACTTCTTGATGGTCACATTTCCGAAATAGATGGAAATGATTATTTGAACAATGAACATAATAACAACAACAATGCCAGTAATAATGAAGGGAATTGCGAATATATTGGACAAAGCGACGATGTAATTGTTGATCAATTTGAAATGCCAAATTATTATTTCTCATTTTTAAAAGAACGTGTATCATTATATTGCATATTAATAATTGTGAAGAAGAAACGATGGGGTTGGATATCATTTCATCGACCTGCGCATAGGAATTTCAACGATAGTGAAAAAATATTTTTACAGCAAATTGCCAATCAAATAAGTTTGGCCATTACTCATTCCAAATTATTAGAAGAAAAGTTGAAACGTGAAGCTCAAATTGAAGCTGCCAAAGTTGCGAGTGATGCTAAAAATCAAATATTAGCCAATACTTCTCATGGTATGCATACACTTTTTTTAAACAGTTGTTTATTTATAGTTAATTTATTATAAATAATACCAAGTATAATAATTATTATTATTATTATTAACCATATTTTAGAATTAAGAACACCATTAGGTGCAATAATTGGAGTGTTATCAGCCTTCGAAGAAACACCCTTAACTGATGAACAAATGGATATGGTACAAATTATGACTCGAGCATCAGATGTGGTTTTATCAGTTATAAATGACATATTGGATGCAGCGAAGATGGGAGCACAAAAAATTTCTTTGGCAAATAAAATTTTTGATGTATTTGATTTGATGGAGAGAACAATTGAGATGTTTAGTGAACGTGCTGGTCTTAAAGGAATTGAGTTGATTTTAGACTATGGATCATTTGATATTGAAAAATCCATTAAAAGTGATCCTGAACGGTAAATATTTTAATACTTTTGATGGAGATATATTGGATTATATTAACATTACAATAATATTTTATGTATAATGCACCTTCTAGCTTACAACAAGTTTTGATGAACTTGTTGTTAAATGCGTAAGTTATTCATTATAAAATCATAGCTTCATATTTATTTCTCAAATATATATACATATTCATACATTTTATTTAAAAAAAAAATTAGCATCAAGTTTACAGAAAACGGAGAAATTACAGTTGAAGTATCAGTGATGAATGAGGAAAACTCGGAAAATAAAAATGGATTAAAATTTATAGATAATTATTGCGATATTAAAAAAAAAAAAAAAGATGTTTTATTATTTAAAGTGTCTGATACTGGCATAGGGTAAGTGTTAAATAGTAGAAAATACAATTTTATAAATTATTAACAATCAACCAATTTTAACAAATTTATTATTATTATTTTATAGTATTGGGGAAGAAAACCTTGAGCATATTTTTGAAAGTTTTATCCAATGTGACGCATCAATGACAAGACCACAAGATGGTATAGGTCTTGGATTAGCAATATGTAAATATTTGGTTACAATTAACGGTGGTAAATTGGGTGTCGAGAGTGAACTTGGTAAAGGTAGTACATTTTGGTTTACATGGATTATCGAATCATCACCACTATCATCAGTGCCGACCACACCAGCAATGTATTCATCGTCACCGTCGTCGTTATCATCTCTAACGACAACAGATAGGGAGTTATTATCATCTCTTCGATCAAAAAAAGTTTTAATAATTGATCATATTGCAAAATCAAGAAATCGTTTAATTAAAATACTTGGCGAAATTTCTGAAAAAGTTGTTGCATTTGATATAATAGAGAAAGGTATCGAAGAATCGAAAAAATGGAGACAGAGTCATAACAGGCCGTTGTATGATATGGTTTTTGTTAACGTTAAAGAAGAAACTTATAAAGAACAAGAAAAATTGATAAATGAATTGAGTTCTCTAAATCAACAAAACAACCCTGGAGATTGTAGTGATGGTGATAGTCAATTCTATGTTGTGATAATGCTTTTTTGGTCAGTAAGTGGTAGAATAATTAGTAAAAAAATGATGTCGAATATTCACGGGAAAAAAGTTGCACTGTGTAAACCAGTTATGAAAAATAAATTTTTAGCTTGTTTACGCAATAATGAATTATTTAAATCATCGTCACCATACAGTAATAATGATGATCCAACGATATCAGAATCGTTCAGTAATAGCATGGATCATAATAATCATCATGATCGATCACTTTTGAGTTCAAATGCAATAAATAACAAATTGAATGAAATTAAATTAGAAAATTTGCAACATCAGCAGAATCAATCCAATGATGTTAACAATATGGATGATAATGTGATCACAGATGATAACAACAATAGTAATGAAAATAAAGATGATATTAATATTGATAATAGTATCGGTATCAATGCTGATGAAAATATTCATAAATTAAATAATTCTTCTAGTTTTAATGTTGAAGGGGGCTTTAGTGTAAGTTGTGCCGATGTCAATAATGTTAGTAAAAAAGATGATTATAAAGCCATCAATGGTAATATTAAAACTGCTGACCATAACGAAGCACAAAAAGAACAAGAAAAAAAATCAAAAATCAAAAATAAAGATACCAACAACACCAATAACCATAAGGACGGTTTATTGAAAAGAAAGTCGTCAATTGATAATGATGAAGATCACTTGGCAAAATCAAGATCAAGAGTAGTCACCAAGACAAAACGGATTTTATGTGTGGTAAGTTATTTTTGATAAATAGATAAATTATTATAAATATATAATTATTAATTATTATTATTCTATGCAGGAGGATAATCCAATCAATTTAAGAGTTATTCAACATCAATTGATAAAGCTCGGGTACCCTTCATTAACAGCAACTAATGGTCAAGAAGCTGTTGATATAGTAAAATCTGAATTTTTAAATGAGAATTTTTCTTCTTCCAATGGTGAAGAAAGGATTTCATTAATATTAATGGATTGTGCTATGGTAAATAATATAAATTATATTTATCAGATATATACATATATATAATATATTCTTAAAAAAATATTTATTTGTTTATTTAGCCTATAATGTCAGGATTTGATGCATCAAAAGAAATAAAGTTAATGAAACCGCCAGCATCAAATATACCCATAATAGCATTAACTGCTTCAGCTTCAGAAGGAACAAAAGCTAAATGCCTTGAAAGTGGTATGGACGATTACGTTACAAAACCACTTAAACTCAATCAACTTGGTATCATTTTAAATAAATGGCTTGATGAAGAAGGTCAACAAAAAATTTGATTTTATTATTTATACACACATACATGCATGTATCTATGTAAATATTCATTTTATATAAATTATTAGATATTTAATTTAATTATTGATTTTTGTATTCTAGTTATAAATTTTTTTTTGTAATATAATAATAATACATTCAATGATATTTTACACATATATTGTGTGTATTTTTCCTTAAGGTTAAGATTTTATTTATGAAAATTTAAATATGCTGATCAAATATGTTATGCAATTTTAATAAAAATAAGTTGTTTATTGAAAAAAATAATTCGGATAAAACAAATAATTAAGGTCCAGTTTAAATTCAAGCTCACTGGAAAGATTGCTATTTATTAAAAGAAACATGAATCTTGTTTCAGTCTTTCCTTATTAGTTTCATCTTTAATTTCAATTTTTATAATAATAAAATCAATATTAAACCTTGTTGTATATATAGTTTGAATATTTAAATAATTGAACAACCCATGATTCCAAATAATCTAATAAATGAATGAACAAACCCAAGATTCCGATAACGAATAAAACAAATAAAACAAATAATTTTTTTAATTCGAATTAAAGGTTACGAATAGAAACCCTACTTTGATCAGCAACTATAATAAAAAAAAACAATAATGAATAATGAATAATGAAATTTACATTATTATTATTTGTATAATATCCACAACAATTCTTACCTTCTTCTAATAAAACATAAATATTGGAGTATAATAATGAAAAAATAAAAAGTATAAGTTAATTAAAGTTGTAAATAGTATATCAAATGCTCATTCAAATAAACAAATAAACAATCAAAAATAATTTATCAAACTAATAAATAAACAAAATGTAATGAACGAAAAATATTTTTTGTATATTGGTGGTTCACCTATGGATCAGTGAATGATTGACCTTTTTTATAATAACTAGAATATTATGTATAACCCAACACATTTACATTTGAGATCTTTACCTTCAACACGTTTTAATCTTCTTTTCAATCGCTCATTCTCCAACTGCAACTCTTCCGCCTTCTCTCTTCAACTCTAAAGAGGATGATTGTTTGTGCAGAGAATAAAATTATTTTATGTTGAATTAGTGTTTACAATATTGATTACTAAAATAATAATTTATTGAATAAATACCCTTTCATTGTTGTTTTCTTTATTTTCACTAATAAAAAAAGTTTATAGTGATGACGCGTGACAACGATTGCAATAACCACCAATCTTTATATATAAACTAGAGTAATGACAACCACCACCACTATCCTCAAAACACTTTTTGAGTGTCTTAATTTTTTATAATTAGACATTTTTTTAAAAAAAAAAAAAAAAAAAGAAGTTTGTGATTTGATCGACGCACATTAATTATTTATTATTGGCGAATTGTTTTTTTTTTTTTTTGACAGAGTCAAAAGGTGACAAAACGTGAGTGTTGTTGTTTGGTTTGGTTTTGGTCTCCTAAAGAAAACGTGTTAATAACTAACCAGAGGTACTTTTTTTTATTTATCAAAACGTGGAGCAGATCATTGCTGGGTAATTACAAGATTTTCATTGATAATATTTTGCTTTGCGTAATCAATAATATTACTAATATTACATTATTATAATTACAAATGTCAAGGCAGCACACCGTTGAATATGAAACATTTCAAGTATGCGACGTTTGATTATCGGAAATTGGCAGGCGTTGAAGCACGCATGCTACTTTGAACTTTACAGTCATTCTCGCACGTTCCTCATGTACAAAGGCTAATCTAACCACGCTTCTCCCGATGATATGATGATGTTGAAATCTGGGGGGGGACGCAAAGCTCTGGAGTTTACCAAGACTGCATCAATCGTCAATGACACTTTCACTAATCTTCCCAGACCAGAGAAGGCTGCTAGCATGCTGGCCGAAAAGTTACCTGCAACGATCCTGCTCTAGGGCAAAGATGGCTCTGTGACCAAGTTGCAACTCTGGAGGAATATTAAGAGAATCTGCAGCTCGTTCAACACAGGAGGTCGCAATTCAGAGTAAGGTTGTGGGCGAAACCTCCTTAGTAATTGCTGAAACCACGGCAAAAATATATTAAATCTTATCAAAAATCCTGTTGAAACTATGCCGAAATGGCGAAACCTCAAAATGCGAAACTCTGCCGAAACTCTAATAAACCTGCCGAAACCCTGCTGATTGATTTCTGGATGAGTTTTGGCAAGCAACCTTAATTCATAGCAGGGTTGGTGGCCCTGAAATTGCATTTGGACTCTGATGTTAATAAAATTAAATGGTTCGAATTTTGTTTGGTATGTTTTGTATAAATTAATCATTCCCAAATTTTCTGTTTCTTTAATTTTTTTAAATGGGGGCTTTTGCTCATATAACCCACCCTAGATTAAAAGGAGTGTAGCTTGATGAGAGTGTGTATCTTACAAGTATAAGGGTGGCAGTTCAATTTTGCCCACTCCTATTGTGATAGTCACCATAATCACTGGCATCAAGGAGAAAGCTGTCAAATAAAATGGTTCAGGTTTTGCTTGGTATGTTATGCATAAATTAATTGTTTTCATAAATATTCTGTTTTTTGGTGATTTTTTATTTGACCAACTGAATTTGTTTTTTAATGGGAATGGGGCTATTGTGAGCAGGTATGCCATCAACAAAACAGCAACCCAGGACTCAAAACTTGGAATTCAGGGAAATCAAAAACAACAACTCAAGTTGCAATATTCCGAGTTGCAGATACCAACTTTATTCTAGAGAGGTATATCATACAGATGCCAACTCTTGTCAATGATCAATGCTCATATGGTGACAGTCAAGCCTGGTCTGAGAGGAAGATGTGGAAAGTTTTTGTCCAAAGCCTTCCAACAGAGGGCATCCTTACCTGTGGAAAAAAAATCTACAGTTATGAGGCATGCTTAATTGCACCCAAACTCATGTTGGTGATAGGAAAGTTTTAATTAAATCTGACACCTGTGATCAACATCAGATTTATTATTCATTCTTGTGAACCCTGAGGACTGCATTATTAAAAGTTTCATTTTCTGCATGATCTTGGTAGTATTTATTACTTGGGTGATGCAATTATTTGTTATGTCAATTACAACATAAAATGTATTGAATAATCAGGTATTCATGTACAAGTATTAATAACAACCAAAAAGCTAAGTCATGTCTATTTTTTATCTATATAAATAGAGTAGAGTAGCAAGCAACAGGTTAATAATCACCACCACCTTTTTAATATACAAAAAAAAATAACAACAAATATTATTTAATTCTAAGCAAATTTTTATTGTTTTTATATGGGTCAGTTCTATATATCACTCAAGATAGAAAATGGGATGTACAAATGACTAAATTTTGATCCCTGAAATTCTGGTAATACCAATGTTCACTTTGTCTGGTTTTGTTGCAGTATGTCCCATATAATCCGTCCCTTGTGATTATTACCTTTTTTGGTTAAATATAAATAATCTAAATTTGGGTAAATTATCGCGTAATCGTTGGGAGACCCTTAATAACATGATGTATAACAATTTTAATAATCCTGTTACAACCACTTTCTAATACGAATGATCGGGCTTAAGACGAAGAAGCGTGTTACGATAAACCTGAGTAAATTGTGTGATATATAAATTATTTTTATTATCAAAGTTATGGAGTAAAAAATCAGATAGATTTTTTATGACAAGCAATCCTTTAATTTTAGTAATTTACATTTGACAATGTTAATGCGACTAGTCATGCAACTTTTGTCAAAGATGCCCCAGAACTGGTGGTAGTGATAAATATATTACCTTTATGAGATGTTGTATTATCTACCTAATTGAGAGCCTCAAAAATGCATTTAGAAAACGGAAGGCAAAAAAAGGAATTGAGATGTTTTTAAGAGAATTTGTACGTAACTAATTGAAAACTTGTTCCTTTTGTTCTTCTTTTATTCGTCATGGTTTATAAAGTAATAATATTTTTTCTTAAAATTTCAGATTTTATTTGAACATTTTCAAAAAATATACATGAAGAGATTGCGATTATTCACTTAACTGTTAAAGGTTTTGAAAAACTGTTTTAAAAGCACTTGATTCAATAACGCCTTTAGAACAGACTAGAAATATGCCTGATGCTCTTGTATATTGATGATTGTAGAAAGAATTCAGGCATTGTATGCTGTTAAAAAGGATAAGTTTTTGGAATTAATATTAGTGATAACTTGACAATTTATTTTAACCAACCACATATCGTTTCAATCACGTGTACTACGATAATCTGTATTTTGTATGGCGCGGACGAGTTTCTTTAAGAACGGCTTTATGTTCTTTTAGAATATTCTTGGAAAAGCTTTGGGTTAGTTTAGTTGAAGTAAATTCTATTACAATTACAATTGAAATGATTTATTTTATTATTATAATTACTATTAATATTACGTAAAAAAGGCAATATTTTGCTCTTACTATTATTATATAATATTCTTTACTATTAATATCATTGGTGTTAAACCTGTTATTTTTTTCATTTGAATACGGCGGCATTATCATATGTAAGTATACTTTAATATTATTAATAGAAACATTTTAAAATTTTTTAAAAAATTTTTGTTGGTAAAAATTAAATAGATCCATTAAAAATTTACCTCGCTTTACAATTCTTGTTAAAAACAACTAACTCAACAATTATTCTCTCTTCGACTTATTTCGTATCATTGTGCTAGCTACATCAGTTAACGAATGATCAGCATGTGAAAAATAAACAAACAAACAAACGACTTTATTTAAAAAATAATAAGAAATCTGATCTCCTTTTTTTAATAGTAATAATGTAATGTAATAAATAAATAATAAAATAACAATTGAATTAATTAAATTAATGAATGTAATAATATTATTATTAATAATAAATAAAAATTAATTTGTTATCAAAAAAATTTAGATTAAATTAAAAAAATATTAAATTATTAATTTTGAAGAAAAGATTTAACTTTGTGCCCTTCTTCATCAAATTATTCCTGTAATGGAAAGCTTTAAACGTGTGTGTGTTTGTTTCCCCCTTTATTATTTTTAGTAACGATCTGTGCGCAGATTCTTTTTGTAATTATTTTTTGATCGTAAAACTGGAAACCTCAAAATAAATTGCAGCATTTTTGTGCACACACCAGTTTTTATTTATAATTTATAATCAATCATTATAAATTTGTTATATTTTCAGATATCAGATATTTATTTCAAAAAAAAAATTTTTTCTTCTTTAGTACTGTTATTATAGGTAAAGAATTTATTGATTGAAAATTTTAAAGATTTTTTATATTATTTCATTATAAATAATATATATATATATTGTATATACGCGTGTAATTGAATATTTTAGGATTTTTTGTTTTGTGCGCAGTCATCAACCAAACCTTATCAATTCTTCCCTTGTATTTTATTTCATATTTTTACAAAAACAAAAAAAAAAAAACAAAAAACATCAGAAATATCAGAAATATACTTTTAAATATACATTATACAGCATATTTCAATAACGTCTTTTCACTCGGGGAAAAAATTAATTTTTGTCGTGTAATAATAAGTAGTAAGTTATTATTATTGTTATTGCAAAATTTTTTTGCTTCAGTCACGTTCACATTTTACAATCATATTCAAGCCTTAGTTTTTTAAACATAAATTGTCACTTATATTCAAGTTTAAATTTTCACACTTTAATAACTTTGGCTTTTTTTGCCTTCCATTTTGATAGTTGTTTTGACAGAATGGAATCAATAGGAACTAGTTTTTTTAGCTTCCCTTCAAAAACAAATTTATTGACAGCAAATAATCTCTTTACCAAGGATCTTTTCTATAATAACAATAATATTGATAATGGCAATGATTTCAACAAATTTAAACAACCAGGGTTGTTTACCTATTATTTAGATCAAAAACAATTTAATAACAATAATGATGATAATAATAGAATTGCAGAAGGAAGTTCTTCTAATACTGGTACTACTACGTCTACCCTTATGACCAGATTATCATCATCATCATCATCATCACGCAACTTTAATTCTGATGTGGCGACACAAGAAAATTTAATAATTGATGATATCACTTTTCGTCGTCCTGATACTTGTTTAGCTTTGGACAATCTAATAACTTCCTCTACCACTACCAAAAACACCGCCATATTATTTGATCCTTTCAAGGACAATGATTACGATGATACCTTTGATTTCCCATTTAAAGATGAAGAAGATTTTGGTACAACTGTTGCACAACTGTATAACATCAACATTAACAATAATAACAATAACAATAATCACCATCATACAACTTCTCCTCGTGTCTCTCCTAAATTTTTCTTCGGTACTTCTAAATTTGATCCATTCAAGGATGATGTCATTGATAATAATACTACAAAACCAAATGGGATCATTTTTGATCATCCATTAAACGACGAGGTAGCAAATGATGACATCAGTTCAACAAACGTCACCGCTGTTCATTTAAACAACAACAATGAACTTTCTTCCTCTTTTTCTTCTTCTACTCATCATATCTCTCCCAAGGATAATACTCTTGATCCATTCAGCGAACCTACTGCTGCACTTGACAGAAATAAAGATGATACATCATCACAATCAATCAACATCAACGTAAATAACAATCAATCAGCATCTTCTAATGTTAACGACAAATATTCGGGTGACGTTTCTCATTTAAACCAATTAAATAACAATCCCCAATCGATCATCAATCCAAGCAGCTTGAACAATGAACTTCCTCTTACTCCACTTTGTAAATACTTTCAACGAGGTTACTGCGCAAAAGGCGATCGCTGTCAATATTTGCACAAGTTTGAATCATATAGCAGCTCTGTTAATTATAATAAAATTAAGAATGGAAATGGTAAAAATCTTGGTTACACATCATCATCATCGTCGTCGTCACCGTCTTCTTCTTCTTCTAATCACTTTCCAGCATCATCACAACAACAGCCAAATTCTTATGTTAACCACCAATTCTATCCGACAATTAATAACACTTTGTCACTTCTAAATCAGACCACAAACAATTCATATAATTCTAGTAGTGTCATTAATAATAATAACAATAACCTTGTCAGCAATGTTGGTTCTAACCTTAACTCATCAACTAATACAAATGATAATATATCTCTACCTGTTGTCATCAATCATAATAATAGCAACAAAGTCAACAATTCTTATATTCAAAAATATTCTCAACATCATAGTCATACTTTTAATACTATCGATCATCCAATCAATCAAATTAGCACAACCAACAATTCAATCAATCATTTAAATGCCACCGATTTATTTAATCGAACTGATGCAACTACAAATTCTTTAGTTACCAAAAATAGCAAAAATACTACTAGAACAGCCTCACACAATAACAATAATAAAAATAAGAAAAAATTTGTTAATAATAATGAAGGTATGATTTATCTTTTATAAAAAAATCAAGTCTGTTATTATTAATATTAAAATAAATAATAAATAAACAATTAATTGATTGATTTTTCTATGCATTTGTATGTAGCCAACAATAGATTTTCTGGTGTTGAATTAGAGGATCTTGTGGGTCATATTTATTCATTATGTAAAGATCAACACGGTTGTCGTTTTCTTCAAAGAAAACTTGAAGAAAACAATCAAAAATACATTGAAACGATTTACAATGAAGTCAATGGACATTTCGTTGAACTTATAACAGGTAAATCGATTGCTTTTGGTCAACTATACAAAATATTTTTTACTGAAAACTAATGTTAATAATAATAACAACAATAGATCCTTTTGGCAATTATCTCTGTCAAAAACTTTTTGAACATTGTGATGAATTTAAACGTACTCAAATTATCAATAAAGTTTCTTCAGAATTGGTAAACATTTCATTAAATGTACACGGTACCCGTGCAGTCCAAAAAATGATTGAACTTGTCACAGAGAATAAACATGTAATATTTAATATTTTATTTTGCTTTATTTATAATCTTAAAATGAATCATTTACTAATTCTTTAATTATTTTTTTAGGGCTATAATAATAATTACATATACAAGACTCAACAAATCCGCACTTTTATCCAATCTTTAAATCCTGAAGTAGTAACTTTGATTCAAGACTTGAATGGAAATCATGTTATACAAAAATGTTTAAGACTTTTCACACCCGAAGAAAATCAAGCAAGTAAAACATTTATAAAACATATATATTATAATTATTTTACTAATTAAATTTTTTTTTAAATAGTTCATTTATAATGCAGTCAGCAGTTATTGTCTTGAGGTTGCTACACATAAAAATGGCTGCTGTGTTTTTCAAAGATGCATTGATCATGGCACCGAACAACAAAAGTTACAACTCTTGAAAACAATAATTCACCATGCTTTATTTTTAAGTCAGGTATGTTGGGAGTTATTAATTAGCATTTAAATTTTTATTAAAAGTTTGCATTAACATAATAAACATATATATAATTAATCCCTCTCTCAAAATTCTAGGATAAATACGGGAATTATGTTGTTCAATACGCCATAAATTTCAATATCCAACAATTCACTAATGCGTTAGCGAGAAAAATTTTAGGGCATGTTTATCCATTATCAATTCAGCAATGCAGCTCAAATGTTGTTGAAGCAGTAAGCAAATCAATCAATCAATCAATCAATATATAAATATAATTAATTGATTAATTAACACTAATCACTTTCTCTTAATTATTAGTGTATTAAGTTGGCTGACAATGATATTAAAGAACTTTTGATTTCAGAATTAATTAATTGTCGTTGTATTGACAGATTATTGCAAGATTCATTTGGGAATTATGTGATTCAAACTGCCTTGTCAAATGCTAGCTTCGACCAAAAGGCAGAGGTATTTATTTATTGTTTATTTATATAATTTTTTTAAGTTATAAATAGTTTTTGTTGTTGCCATCATCTAATGAAATTAATTAATTAATATTGTTATAACTTATAGTTGATCAAATCTTTACAGCCATTTTTACCTACAATCCATAATGCACCATATGGAAGAAAAGTTCAAGGCAGGATCAGTCGTGATATTAAATTCCTTGGGTCACTACTATATTTTAAAAATTTTAATTAAATTTATAAAAAGACTAGTTTCATATATATTTATAATATAAACATACAAACAAAATCATTATCACAAAAAACCATTATATCACAACATCAAAAATCATCTTTGTAGTATGTTATTAATGTTTGTAATATTATACTAATAACAGTAGTAATAGTAATAATGTTAGTAATAGTAATAAAGTGGTAGTAATATTATTTATTAATATTAATATTATTTTTATTGATGTATTATGTATTTTTTATAGATTAATAATTAAAAATCAAGAGATTTAATTTTTATAAAATTTTTTAATTTCTTTCCTAAAAGTCAAATATTATTATCTTTCTTTGGTATTAGGGGTAAAATGTTAGGTGGAAAAAAACTAATGAATAGGTGGCTGCGTAACTCAAATGAGCACTTGGCTAACTGACCAAACTATTTAGATTTTTTAACCCCTTTACGCTGCCAGCTCTGATTTAGACATTAAGGAAAAATTACATTGTGTAGCTTCTGGCCCGCCATCACGCAGCAAGGCGATAAACATTTGAACGCACGAATAAATTTTCGCCACCCGCGCTGTAACATTTATCAATGATGTGATGATTAAATTAATGGGCTGTAATTCTTATAATATTACCCATATATAAAATAAAATGAAATCATAACAAATACTCTTGATTAGAGGATGTTGTTTCCAAGTTAATTTGCTCAATTCCCGATAAATACTTCCAAGTGAGCTTCTGAAGCTACCCGAAAAATTCTGTTTATAAATCGGAGGAAGAGCTGGTGAAAAAAAGGCAAAACACCAAGGTTTCCATACAGTTAATACTGTGGCATGAGCATCATGTCTTTACAGGTCAGAGATACTGGCTTAAAAATATCAGGAATATATAAACTTACAGATTTATTGCAATATCATATAGAACCTACGAGCGTAATAATTACAACGAGGCACAATAATTGTGCAAATTGCTCCCGAAAAATTCCTGATAGCAGTGCTGGCGACCTTCACCCAAAGGAAGTTATTCAGAACTCACTATATTAATATTGTCGCCTAATGGATAAACCGCTTTTTACTGCCAGAGAAACTATAGTTGAATGCATCCGGGAAACAAAAACTAGGTCACAATATACATATCCCACACAATAATAATAACCTGAAAACGGAGGATTTGCGTAGAATATACTAGTACATTTATCACATGCTTTTGCGTATTTTTCTATGTAGATTATTGACAAAAACAGGGATTATGTACTGTGCGGATAATTTGCATATTTTTATTGTTTTCCTGATGCGTAACTACAATAAAAATGCGTAATATTAATATATTTACAGGACAAATAAAATGTTTGATAAGCACAAATTGAAACATGGTAGAAGCCTGATTTTATCATCAGAACAACAAACCCAAATAAGTACATGAACTGAGATCAAACCAACAAATACAAAAAAATTATTGATCAATAAGAAAAGTGAGCGAGTGAATGATAAATATGATAAATCAATCAAAGAAATTGAAACTTGATATTGAAAATAATTGTTTCTAATATTATAATAAATAATAATCAATATCGATTAATTTTCAACAAAAAAAGATAAGATAGAAAAATGCGAGATAGATAAAAGTTGTAATTACTTGCAAGTGAACAAGATAATGCCCAAGAATAAGGTAAAGAAAGTTGAATGAATCGAATTAAATACGCATATATTGATAGAGATGATAATGATTAATATAGTAAATATAAATTTTATTAATGTGATTATTTAGTCCAATAATTTTTTTATGTTTAGCATCGAAGAGAGAATAATTGTTGAGTTAGTTGTTTTTAACAAGAATTGTAAAGCGAGGTAAATTTTTAATGGATCTATTTAATTTTTACCAACAAAAATTTTTTAAAAAATTTTAAAATGTTTCTATTAATAATATTAAAGTATACTTACATATGATAATGCCGCCGTATTCAAATGAAAAAAATAACAGGTTTAACACCAATGATATTAATAGTAAAGAATATTATATAATAATAGTAAGAGCAAAATATTGCCTTTTTTACGTAATATTAATAGTAATTATAATAATAAAATAAATCATTTCAATTGTAATTGTAATAGAATTTACTTCAACTAAACTAACCCAAATAAGTACATGAACTGAGATCAAACCAACAAATACAAAAAAATTATTGATCAATAAGAAAAGTGAGCGAGTGAATGATAAATATGATAAATCAATCAAAGAAATTGAAACTTGATATTGAAAATAATTGTTTCTAATATTATAATAAATAATAATCAATATCGATTAATTTTCAACAAAAAAAGATAAGATAGAAAAATGCGAGATAGATAAAAGTTGTAATTACTTGCAAGTGAACAAGATAATGCCCAAGAATAAGGTAAAGAAAGTTGAATGAATCGAATTAAATACGCATATATTGATAGAGATGATAATGATTAATATAGTAAATATAAATTTTATTAATGTGATTATTTAGTCCAATAATTTTTTTATGTTTAGCATGAAACATCAATGAAACTTTTTAATTAATTAATCTAATGGGTCAAGGATTAGATTGATTTAATTTGTTACACGTGTATTAGTGTTTGATTACTATTGATATCGATATCTCTTGCAATATTAATTATTCAACCTATTTAGGTTATATTAAGCTACGATTAAAACAAATCATTTTCTTTTATAAGTCTACTTTTTTCTCAAATTTCCAAGAAAAAAAAAATCTTTAAATAAAAAATCGTTTTTTCTTCTTTAAAATATTTTTTTACGTGACAAAATTCAATCGACAAAATGACTGTGTAAGTAATAGTATCTTCTTGATGATTAATTATAATTGATTGATTGATTATTTATCTTTAATGAAATTATTTAATGATAGAGGTGACTTTGGTCTTATTGGTCTTGCAGTTATGGTAAAATATTTTCTTTTTTAAAAAAATATCAAATCATCTTTTCGTATTCACTTGATCAAATTAATTAATTATGTATGTATATATATATTTTTTTCACAAGGGCCAAAACCTTATTCTTAACATAGCTGACAACGGATTCACAGTTGTTGCGTACAACAGAACTGTTGAAAAAGTAGATCATTTCTTAGAAAATGAAGCTAAAGGTATCCATCCATCCATCATTAATTATATTACAATCAATTAATCAATCAATCAAAAAAATCAATCTATTTTATAATGTGTATGTGATTTAGGAAAAAATGTTGTTGGTGCTCGCTCAATTAAAGAACTTGCTCAGAAGCTAAAGAAGCCAAGAAAAATCATGCTTTTGGTTAAAGCTGGTCAAGCTGTTGATGATTTTATTGACCAATTACTTCCTTATCTTGAAGAAAATGATATTATTATTGACGGTGGTAATTCTCATTATCCTGATAGTATTCGTAGATGTAAATATTTAGAAGAAAAGGGATTATTGTTTGTTGGTTGCGGTGTATCCGGTGGTGAAGATGGTGCTCGTTATGGTCCATCTCTTATGCCTGGAGGTTCTAAAGCTGCATGGTAAAAATTTAATAAATAAATATACTTTTTATTTATTTATTGTTTGTTTGTTTATTATATTAATCTGTTGATTTATTTTTCATTTGCTTTTTTATTTGTTTCTTTAAAAAATACACGATCATTTTTTTCCTAGGAAACATCTGCAGCCAATATTCCAATCTATAGCGGCCAAAGTTGGTAATGAACCATGTTGTGATTGGGTTGGTGAAACAGGTGCAGGCCATTATGTTAAAATGGTTCATAATGGCATTGAGTATGGTGATATGCAACTTATTTGTGAAGCATATCATTTGATGAAGGAAGGAATTGGTCTCACAAATGATCAAATTGGCGATGTGTTTGAGGAGTGGAATAAAGGTGAATTGGATTCATTTTTGATTGAAATCACTAAAGATATTGTCAGATATAAAGATAACGACGGTATTCCTCTAGTGGAGAAAATTAGAGACACTGCAGGCCAAGTATGAAATCATTCTTTATTCATACATTTATACACACATTCACACGCACACACATAATTTAACATAAAATTTTTCTTTTGGAAACTATACAGAAAGGTACCGGAAAATGGACAGCAATAAATGCACTTGATCTTGGAATGCCGCTTACACTCATAGGTGAAGCTGTATTTGCTCGCACACTTTCATCTTTGAAGAGTGAACGTGTACGTGCGAGCACAATTTTAAAAGGACCTCAAAATGTTACTTTCTCTGGTAATAAAAAAGATTTTATCAAACAAATAGGTCAAGCTTTATATGCTTCCAAATTGATTTCATATGCTCAAGGATTTATGCTTATGCGTGAAGCTGCAAAAGAATATAAGTGGGATTTAAATTATGCTGGTATTGCTTTGATGTGGCGTGGTGGTTGTATCATTCGTAGGTTAGTTACTTGATTTTTTTTTTCAAAAATACAAGAGTCAGCAGTTACTAAAATAAGCCTATTTCATAGTGCTTTCTTGGGCGATATTAAAAACGCATACATCAATAATCCACATCTTGAAAATCTTCTTTTTGATCCATTCTTTAAGAATGCTATTGAAAGCGCACAAAGTTCATGGCGTAAAGTCATTTCAGAAGCTGTTTTAATTGGCATTCCTACTCCTGCATTCGCATCGGCTCTTTCATTTTATGATGGTTATAGACATGAAAAATTACCTGCTGGTCTACTTCAAGGAATGCGAGATTATTTTGGGTTTGTATATATAGTCATTAATTAAACCTTTTTTTCGTTTGAAAAAAAAATTTTTTTTTTTTCAATAGTTAATGATTATGATTTTTTTGGGGTGAATTCAATTAGT